CGGGTGTTCATCAATTGTGATTAAAAAAAAAAATAATAAAATATAAATAGCTAAAAGTATTTTATTATTCTTATAACTATGATTATTTATAGATTTTTTATTTGAAACGTAAATTTAACTGCAAAAGTTTATGACTTCTATCAAAGTGTGGTTATTATATAGACAAGAGGTTTATTGCTAAAGTAACTTTGTTTAAGTATATTTAAATTGATTTTCCATATTGAATATAAGAATTATTATATTTAAATAAGATTTTTTTACTTATTATATTTTAAATATATTTAAAAGCACCTTCTGATATCACTCGTAAAATATGTTCTTTTCTCACTTTTGAATATTTCATTCTAATTATGATCTACTAACAACCAATCAATTTGTCGCTGCATGTAAATACCAAACTTGGCCTTTTCCTCTTCTTTATTTACTTTTCTTGGCATATTCATTGTATTAAATATTATTGAAAGTTGTTCTTCATTGCACACTTTTATGTTCTAAATCTATACCTATTAGGATTTTTAATTTTACTATTTTTCCTCAACGATCATACCCTTCGAAATTAATCGCTATCTATTTAAACCACTAGTATGAATGTAATATACGAGTACATATTTAACTATGATAATAATTATTACATAAGATGTGAAATTTAACATGTCAAAAAGTGGAATGTATGTAACGCTTTAGTAATGTTATTACGTTTTGCATCATTACGTTTGCGAAACTCAACTATAAGTGTTATAAAATAGTCTATCCTCGGTGGATGTAGATCCACTAATAAACATTTTAATTCAAATTATTAAAAAATAAATGATATTAATCCATTAATATGATATTCATGACTGTTGGGCTACATGTAAACTACGGTAAAATTTAATCTTTTTCTAAAAGTCCAGTGGTGGCTTGTAGCTTGGAAGATGGGACTATCCTATCCCCTAGTAAATATATTGAAAAGAATACAATTAATAGTATATTTTATATTTTTAAAATATAACTTTTATTAAACCGCATTTTTCGAATAACTAAAATGTATAATATAATTTATTATATACATTTTGTTCGATGCCAACATTAAGGATGATGGAGCATCCCAAATTATGTATGTCTTTAAACCAGTGTTGAGCATTATCTAGATAGATAATTAATTATTTTTTCTTATCTAGATAATAAACGTAATTAGTTATCTAATGAATTATCTTAGATAAATTCTTGAGTTATCTATCGTAATTCATCTAGATAAATAAATACGAGTATAATTATTCAAAAAATACTAAAAATTGAACTTGAAAGTTAAAAACTAATATAAATTTAAAATGAATGAAAACTTTATTAATATTATTAATTTATTGACTTTATAATTAATTACTATTATTTTAAAAGTTGCGGTACTGCAATATATGTTTAATTATATTATTTAAATTTTGCATATAAATAATATTTTTTAGAATTGTTTACATATTATTAAAGACTATTCAATTTATACTTCCTAGTGACTTAAAATATTTGATTCCTAAGATAGAAAATTAAATAATACAGATAATGGTTCACAGTGGCGTATATAAGGGGGTGGTTGGGGGTTCAAACTCCCCCTCGCAATTTATGATTAGTACGACCCACGTGTGCATTTCTTTAATCTATGTATTAATTAAAACCAAACTGTCTAGTATGGGAAAAAAATGCTCTCTCCAAATTTTTAAGCAAATTATACGCCCAATTCTTACCTATGCTTGCCCGGTATGGGGTAATTGTGCATCCTCGCACATCAAAAAAATGCAAATTGTCAAAAACAAAGTCCTCAGAATAATTGCAAATGTTCCGTGGTTTGTCAGAAATCCAAATCTGCTATTGATACTTTGAATAAACTATCCGTTGATTTTTTTCCAAATATATGGTGCTTAATGTCAATATTAGTAACTTTACCAGTCTCAACAGCGTCATTAGAAAGATCGTTTTCGATATTGAAAAGATTGAAGTCGTGCTTGAGAAATAGTACAAGCGAAAATCGACTAACAGGATTATCTCATGTCAATTCATCGAAGTATTTCAATAAACACTGAAGAAGTGATAAATAATTTTGCAAATCTACCTCGAAAATTAGACTTTGTCCTGTAATTAAATTTATGTATTCTAATTTTCATAGTTATTAAAAATAAGTTAATTTATAACCTTCATTTAGTATATATTTTTTCATAAGCCCCCCCCCCCCGAAATTAATTCCTATATACGCCACTGATGGTTGAATTAATTTTTAAATATTTTAAACATAAATATTATTCCATAATAATTTTTTATTTTTTTTTATTGGTTAAGCATTAACTATATATAAGTAATTAGCTTTAATAAAAGTATTACATTTTTACACAATTATATGTTATTATACAATTCATTATTTTTTAGATATAAAATTATGTTTTGATAATTAGAAAAAATGGACCAGTTGCTTTGTACATGTTGTCTGGGATGTTGAAGTCTTTCCTAGCTTCATTGAAGTTTGAACAGTGGACAATGAAGTCCAGCCGATCATATAACTTGAAGAGTACAGAAATTTAAAAAAATTAAAACTCCCTATGATGCTTTAAATTGGTGGAAAGAAAACGAAATTGAATACTCAGCTGTACCAAAAAATATTTAAGTATAATGGCCATTTGTGTTCCTTGTGAACGGTTACTTAGAAAAAATGGAACAATCATTTCCAAAAAAAGAAATAGATTATCTCCCATAAGACTCAATAAATTGTTATTTCTGAATTCAAATATTTACTATTCATATTTTTATATATTCATATTTCAAATAAAATCTAAATTTTGAAACATTGATGGAAATATTACTTGAAGAAGAAAATTCGTAAAGCGCAAAATACATATCTATTATTTCTACACCTAATTTTGTACATTTGTACATATTTATATTTTTAATTTTACATACTTTTAAGGTTATACATAAAACATTATTATTAATAATTAGTAATTGATATACATATAATTAATAATTATAAATATGTGTAAATCGTTATCGATTTTTTTTTTCGATAATTAAAAATATATCGTTGGCGAACATTACTATGAAGTATATTATATTGTAGATAAACAATGATTTGCCGCAGCTTGTATAATGTATCTTATCAGTTCTATCGCAGATTGTATAATGTTAAATTTTTTCTTGTCGCGATTTACATATCAACTTTTGGAAAAAGGTTAATTATGCCGCAATTTACCATCTCTCAACTATTAACCAATAATTTATTCAAAAGTATAATTTTATTAATCCATAAATATTTTTATTATAGGACCAACAATAACGATAGTAGCCGAATTATTTAACCATAAAAGGCTGAAAATAATAAATATAATATTTAAGTATAATACATATAATTATTAAGTAAAAAGAAATAAATGTTTTTGATTACTATTAACTTATTTCCATTCTTTCATAAATAAAAGACACGAATAACTTTTTTTCGGATAAATATGTATAACAAATTACGCTTGAAACTGATTAAAACGGTTAGCCCATAGTAATGTAATTTCATTATTGGCAACTCATTTTTTTTTTTTTGAGCTAAGCCCCACAAATGTTCTAACAATTTTGTTAAAATAATAAGATCTATTTAGTACCGAAGTAGAGATCCAAAGGATTCAAACTAGAGTATTCGGAATTCTAAAGGCTCCTAATTTACAAAATAACATTATTTACAAAAAATCATAGTTGAACTTTATTTTTTTTAATTTTTTTTTTCTTTAATAAATCTTAAAGAAAATATATTATAATATTATTTTTTTTTTTTAATCATGTCATTTTATCAATGGAAATTGTATTCTTAATTATAAATTAAAATTATTGTGAGTATTATGTATAAATATAAAAAAATAATTTTAAGTCCTGCTGTAGACTTACTGACCTGGTCCAGGTGGAAGCAAAATGTTATCGAGTGGCACAAGTTTAACTTCATGCATTAATTCCAGTATTTTTTCAGAAGACAGTGAAAAAATTGTAATAACAGTTTAACAATTAATATTAATAAACAATATTATGACACTAGTAAAGATATAAGGTCAAATAAATCGTTAAAATCGGTAATTCGAGATTTTTGGGCGTAATTACGAGGCGTGGTATAATGACTAGTTCTCTGCCAACGTACTGTATTTATATATTATAATCATAATGCTTTCCCGTACGATGGGATGTATAAAACCCCACCAAATAAATCTCATATCCGACACGGTGAAACAAACCATACCAACTATAAAATGGTTTTCATTATATCCTCAGTCATCTATTGGTCATAATATACCTAATGAATGTGTTTTCCATTATGTACCTTAAACTTAGGCGTATATAATTATAAATTTTTTTAATCCAGTGGCTTGAGTGACTTGATGGAAGAACCAACCAGATATTTAGTTTCATTTATAAGGTTACAAAACACCTAAAAAATTGAAATTCCAAAAGGGGGTCGCCACAGTAGAAGAGTTGAGAAGCGTTGTTTTAAATGATCAACAATATTACATTTCGATTTAATAATTGTTTCAAATTACTACATTGTAATATACCACGTGTTATTATATTTGGAATAACCGTATGATAAAAAAAAATGCTTGTATAGGATTATAAAAATTGTAATGTAAGCACGTGAATTCTTGAACTGTTCAACGGCGTCCACAAGAGAGCACGCACCGGCTATCGCGAGCACAAGAGGGTGTTACCCAATTGAGCACGATAAAAAAAATGAATATTATGTATAACGTTGTAAGTTTTGTAACTCGCATTTTTTAATTTTTATAATCCATAGTTTGGGAATAAATAATAAAATAAAATAAATTGGGGGATAAGTTGGCTATACATTCGACCAATACCTCGTCTTGGTCCTTAATACATTTTAAATTCAATTTCTAGAGATATATTTAGAGGATAATGTACTGGAACCCAGTTATAATTCGATCAGAAAATATATAGGTTTAATATTTTTTTTTAAATAAATAAATAAAACCGTAACAATTTATAATCTGTATAAAAGGTTAAATAATTAAACTAATAATCTATAATGAAATAGCAATTCATCACTATTATTTAGGCAATTTTGTTTTGTGTGTACATAATACAATTTTAATTATGATAATAACTATGTATTATATATTGATATACAATATGTTATGACGTCTGTGACGAAACGATACAAGAACATAGCTCTCGGGTATCTCCACTACGGAGTAAACCTCCATCACCCACAAATAACAATAATTCGATAAGTTGGTATTCATGAATGATATTTTCTTGAAAATTATAGTTTCATTAAAATCCGGCATATTTGGAAAACAAAACAAATAATAAGAACAATAGTCAAATGATGGAACCAGAAAAGTCTGAAAACAGTAAATATAATTATAAAATAAATAAAAAATAAATAACCATAGTTTTTTAAGACCGTACCTTCTATTTCTAGCTAATGCCATTTTATTATTGTTTAAGTCTTCTTTTAATATGTGCTTTCTTATCCCATAAAAATAACTTGTTATATAAGAATTCCAATTAAATCCTTCGAAACTGAAATAAAATGTTTTGCGGTCATCTGTACTTAATGATGACCACAGTTTTCTTGTATTACTGTTGTCAAATTTCCATTCTCTCGTCAAAAACACATTAAGGATGTCAACCAAATATTCCAATTTTTTATAAAATGACAGCCATCTAAGTGTACACAAAAGTTGTTATAGATTTCTACTGACCGCCGTATATTGTTAGTGTATGAAAACGAAAATATAGTAGAACTAGATATATAGTCACACACGATATCGTCAATGCACAAAATGTATATGAAAAAAAAACTCTACATTAAATTACTTGCCTTGGTTTTTTGCCACAAATCATTAGATAAATATCAATTAACGCTGCTGGTATCCGATGCAACAAAAATCTTAAAATCATATTCATCCAAAAGTTATTGGAGTAAATACACATGTTATACCACATTGAAATCAACGGAGGGTGCCGTTCGTATGCTTCAGCGAAACCATTCAGTAACATGTTACAGGTCAATGAACTATCAGGACTAGAAACGTAGTTATATATTTTTGGTTCCTGGTTAAACGCATTCGGATCTTGATATCTGAGGGTGATACAAACTTTAGACACTAACCGTTTTAACGTGTACAATACAAAAATATTCAATTAATCTTACCGTTTAACTGTATCCCACATAACACTGATCAACGCGTTGGCGGTGTAATCGACTGGGATTATATCGGTTATTTTGCTTGTGTCGATTTTGAGAATTCTTAAGATTCCGGTAATCAGTGAAGTTAGCATACCAGTCGCTCCATTCTTATTATCCGTCCATCCAGGTTCCGGTTCGGATGCTGAGCATCCAACTACAATGGGGTTCGCGTGTATTAATAACATATATTACCATCGTTTACAGTAATTAATATGGATTTTAATATGCACTGTTAAAAGTCCATTTTATTTACAATGAAAAGTGAAGAAATACATTTTAAAAAACATTGGGTTACAATTTAAAGAAAATATTGAACTATAGGGTCGGATGAGATACAGGAACAAGTGATGAATAAGATGTAGGTGAAATGTTCTTAAACGTGAAATCAATAGACTAATGATTTCATAAAAAGGATAAACGAGGAATTTGATATTTCCTTTTCCGGTTTTTTTTTTTTGTAGGACCAAATATAATTTATCGATAATTTACGAAAAGCAGTTAAAAAATCACGGTCCATTCAAATATCTATAAATTTCACAAAAATATCAAAATCATTCGAAAATGATGTAGTTAGAAAACGGTGATATAGAAGTTGTTCAAAATGTATTTTTATTTCACACAATTAATTTTTGAATAATTATAACAAATTTTGATTATGTCGAAACCTGTATTTTTTTGTAATTTAAGTCAGAGTTTTCGATTGATTTGAAAACTATAAAGGAATTAAAAAATATTTTCTGAATAAAGTTTTTCTAGAAAAAAAAAGCAATTAAAAACCATCGCTTCTTTAAATAGTGTACTTACTTATCGATGGACGAAATATTGAGATTGGCAAGTGCCCATAATTTGTGGCTATCGAATTCTCAACGATTGATTTCGTAAATGTATACGTGTTTGGCCAGCTCCCTACAATACTATCCTCAGAACATTTATACAATTATAAATAAACATTTATTTAAAAACATTTTATTTAAGTGGAAATATGTACTTTGATGGTAATTTATCGGAACTAATCATATTT